GTACCTGAAGAGAAAATAAGATAAACAAATTTAAGAAACATATATCAACTCAATTCAAGGAAGAAAACTAATCTGAGTATTCAACCATGAAGTAGAAGGCTTTAGGTATTAGTTAATATGCTAATACTGGGGAGAAGTTAGGATGTATTAGAGGATCACTACCCATTCAGCATGATTTAGACTACCTTCTGTATAGGAAGGAGGGTCAGACTACATATTTTCTAAAGGTTTTTTTTTTTTTTTAACCCCAAGATCATGTAATTATGAACTTCCAGTTCTGCTATTACTTGAAATGTTCATCCTATACATATACGTTGGTATGATTATAGGTTTGGGATAATTTGTTAATTTCCCTCCTAATCCAGAGTAAACTGTGCTGTTTCCTTCAAAATTTTGCTTTCCTTGCTCAAGAAGTTTTTATAAAATTGAAATAAGATGTTTTTATAAAATCGAAATAAGATAACTGGTTTCATGAGATTGAGACATGAGTATTTTCATGTAGTCAAAGGATTGTCTGGAATTGTTAAGTGTGCAAAGCCTAAGTTGTTTGATAATTTAACAAATTCCAACAAACTCCTGGGTGAGGAAGCAACTCATATTCTTCCCATGTGCTTTTCTGTTTGGCTTTCTTTTTCTTTTCTTTTCTTTTTTTTTTTTTTTCAGTCTGAACTGACAGTAGAAATATAAATGTTTGACATTAAGAATTATCTACTCTTAGTATCTATAATGTAACAGAAAGCAATATCTTCTACCATAACTTCGTTTAAGAAATTTCCAACTGCACTGAGGTAAGCACCTAGTAAACCATCTTCCTATGTGTCATGTCTCCTCTTAATGACACAAAAATGGAAGTCCTTAGATTCCTCCTTATTGGGATCCCTGGACTGGAGAAAAGTCACATCTGAATATCCATTCCTTTCTTATCCATGTACCTTCTTTCTTTGATGGGTAATTTTACCATCCTCTTTTTTATCAAGACAGAGCAAAGCCTCCATGAACCTACATACTATTTGCTTTCTATGCTCTCCATCTCTGACCTAGGGCTGTCTCTCTCTTCCTTACCCACCACTTTGGGACTATTCCTATTTGATATCCGTGAAATTCATGCAGCTTCATGCTTTGCCCAGGAATTTTTTATCCATCTGTCTATAGTCAGTGAAGCCTCTGTACTGTCTGTAATGGCATTTGACCGGTATGTGGCAATCCACAATCCTTTGAGATACAGCACTATCTTAACTAGTCCCAGAGTCATCAAAACGGTTTTTTTCTGACCTCTAAGAATGTTCTTTTGATCCTTCCACTGCCCTTTCTCTTGCAAAGGCTGGGATACTGTCATCGAAACCTGCTCTCCCACTCTTATTGTCTCCACCAGGATGTCGTGAAGCTGGCGTGTTCTGACAACAGAGTCAATGTTGTCTGTGGACTCTGTGCAGCACTTTCTACTATGCTGGACTTGGTGTTTACTATCTTCTCCTACATTATGATTTTAAGGGCTGTACTGGGAATTGCTACCCCCGGACAGCAGTTCAAGGCCCTCAACATGTGCATCTCTCACATCTGTGCTGTGCTTATCTTCTATGTGCCCATGCTGAGTACTGCCATGCTCCACTGGTGTGCCAGGGATGTGTCTCCTATGATCCATGTCCTCATGGCTGATATTTTTCTGCTGGTTCCACCCCTGTTGAATCCCATTGTGTACTGTGTGAAGACCCATCAAATCCGAGAAAAGGTTGTGGGGAAACTTTGTCCAAAAAGAAGTTGATCAAAAGAATGAGAAAGGGAATGAATCTAAAGTGGCAACTAAATAGATGTTGAATGTTTCACTGGAAGAAAGTATAATATACTAGAGTATATTATATTTTATTTTATAGTCATGTATTTATGGTCTTGTATTTTATAGTCAGATAGAGTTCATAGAACGAATGACTTTTGATATTCAGTACCCTAAGTGCCCTTAGGCCCCTGTGAGTTTGTGAAAATTACTTCAGCTCTCTGATTCTAAGATTGTACATCCAATAATTTAAGCCTTAAAGGAAGACTGGAAGTATCTGCTTCCTGCTTTTTAAAGTACATGCCAATAAAATAATATGAAAAAATACCTATAAAAATGTATTCTCCTTTTTTTATATGCGTAGCAAACAAATGCCTATTAAGAGAAGAGCTAAATTATTTCTTCAAGTTTTGTTGATGATGCAATGTTTGACCTAATTCGAGGTCACCTTGCACAGACTTAAAAATTTTTAAAATATGTATATTAACTGCATATTTGGATGGATGTAAATTCAAACTACAAAAGCTATTATTCTGGAGTCATACTAGTCAATTACATTATTACAAAGGGTATTTTTTTAAAGAACCCCAAATGACCATATCTCAATTGTTTATTTTGGTGGCGCATATTACAAAAAAATACTTTATCTTCTCATGGGTACATTCTTAGCTCTGGCTATTGCTTTTTAAACCTTTTCTGCATATATATTTTACTCCCAGCTCTTAGAATTAGCTAATTATACCCACTCTCTAGAGATTATCTCTTTTATAATTTAAAAATAATTGGTGAAGATATAACTATTTTCCTCAATCTTTTTTCTAAGTAAGACTGCATTTTCACTTTGAAGCCTTCCCTGACCGTTTCCAGCCTAAATAGACTTTCAAATTTCTCTTAAATATCAATCTTTCCATCTTTATTAATCATTTTACATACCATGTAAATTGCCTTGTAATCCTAGAGTCATAGGTGTTGTTTTTGCATATATAACCTGTGTTTATAGGACCTTAAACAATTATTTGATATTAGAATGTGAATCCCAGGAGACTAGTGATTGTCTGCCTTTTTACTACTTCATACCGGTTGTGAGCACATTGAGTAGCCCACGGTATGAACACAAATAATTTTGAATAAATAAATGAGTGAACACTTAGCAAACATTGAGATAACATATATAGAGTCACGAAAACCACACACACAAATACACACATATTGTCATCTTTAATCCTCAGTTTATAATAATTACTCCAAATTTTATTATTCTCCCAATACTTTTAAATATTTTCCTACGATATTCTACAGAGATATTTTCAGCTTTCTGTAACACTTTTAGAAAACCATACATACAATTTAACATCATAGAGAAATAAGGTTTTCTCATAACTTATTCATGTCATTGTTTGTTTTATCTGTGTCCAACACATGCTTCAATGCCAATGTTTGTCTTAGATTGTAAACAAGGCTATTAAATTTTATTTTTATAATGCCGTGAATAAATACACTTAATAAAGATCTTGAGAGAAACTAATGAAAATGATGTGTATTTTGACAGAGGAGAGTAGTAAGTAAAGCCAAAAGGTCAGAGAAACTGAGACAGTGACTTTGGGGACTTGATTTGACTACAAAGAAAATTAGGTTTCTTGACCAGGAACCATGTTCAGAAATAGCTGGATAGCAAACCACTCCAAAGCTAAGTGACCCAAAACAACAACAATTATGTATTTGACCAAAGCTGTGTAATTTGTGCAGAGCTCAGCAGGGATATCTTGTCTATTCTCCACATAGTACCAACTGGACACCTTCACTGGGACAGAGGATACACTTTGAATGTGGTTCATTCCCAAAGCTGGCAGCTGATGCTTGCTGAGTTCAGCTAAGCTCCTACATATGCCTCTCCAAGTAGCTTAGGCTTCTATGAGCACGTTAGCTGGTTTCCAAGAAAAATTGCTTTCAAGAACAAAAGAGAATATACCAGGAAACAGGATAGAAACTTCTAGTCTTGTTAAGGACTATAGCTGCAAAAAATAAAGGGTCATTTCCACTGCATCTGTAAGTTATACATGAATGGAACAAGCTCAGATTCAAAGGAAGAGAAATACATTCCATCTCTTGATGGGGAACGTGATACATAATTTGGAGCTGCCGTTTATTCAACACAGAACAGAATGATTGTTTATTTAGTTTCATAGTCAGTTTCACAAACTGCAAATTACGAATCAGTGTAGACCTCCACCTGTGTGTCTGTGCCTACCTGTTGCTGAGCACTGATGGAGACCATCCAGAAGTTGTTCAAAATGGAACAGCTCCATCCAGGGGTTGTTCATAATAACTGCTATTTCAGCTGATCATCAAATATGACTTAAAATATGGTTACTTTGCATTCTTGTTGAGCTGCTACGTTCATTTTTCTCCCGAACCAAGAAAGCAGGATGATAGGGAGTAGAAAAGAACTGAACATGTGCCAGCTTCTTTAGTCTCCCTATATACTCCCAATCCTCATGCTTCCTCCTTAAAAGACAGTAAAATGAGAATTATTCCTATTATTTGCCACCTGACATAAAGCCTTCTATATGTATGCTACCAACCTACTGCATTCTCATTTCTAAGAAAAATGCCATTTCTCTCTATCAAAACTTAATGCAAGTTACCCAAAACTAAATTTCATATCTTCCTGCCTTAAAAAAGAGACACTACCTGCATATGAGGCAGGACAATACTAAGTGGGATGTTTACCAATTCAGAAACTAAATGCTGATAGATCACCCAGGTAATCTGCGAAAGGATTTTACATAACTCCCCATTGATAACCCTTCCAGAACCTGTCTCACATTGCTCTTCATACTCATCCAGTCACAGAATATCATATTAGTTGATGGAATTTCTGATATTGAACATTTATCTTCCTCAAAAAATTCAAGCTTGCAATATTCTCTGTCTCTCTCTCTCTCTCCCTCTCTTACAAATATATATCTATCTATCTTTCTACTATGAGTTTTTACAATAGTGCTAATTTCACCTTTAGCCTTATAAGTTATCTTTAGCTATATCTATACTTAGAGTTTTCCTAATTTCTTAAAATACTTCAACTACTCTTTAATAATTAAAATGATTTAAAATTAACAATTAGACACATTTGAGAATAAACAAGGCTGCAAAAAGAAATAAAAGTATATATGTAAATATTATTTATATTAGGGCCAGGCGCGGTGGCTCAAGCCTGTAATCCCAGCACTTTGGGAGGCCGAGACGGGCGGATCACGAGGTCAGGAGATCGAGACCATCCTGGCTAACACGGTGAAACCCCGTCTCTACTAAAATACAAAAAAGAAAATTAGCTGGGCGAGGTGGCGGGCGCCTGTACTCCCAGTTACTCGGGAGGCTGAGCCAGGAGAATGGCGTGAACCCTGGAGGCGGGGCTTGCAGTGAACTGAGATCCGGCCACTGCACTCCAGCCTGGGCAACAGAGCCAGACTCCGTCTCAAAAAAAAAAAAAAATTATTTATATAGTATTTATTAATTGAGAAATGTTAACCAGTAAAATAGTTTTAATCAAAAACTATTTTTGAGTGTAAAAATCTCCTCTAAGAGTTAAGCAATCTATAACCATGTACAAGTTTAGTAAACAAGCCTTGAGTTAGCAAATAATTTCAGTTTGCTAACAGTATTAAATCTAAATTTGGGGGGAATCCAACTTTTCAGTACTTTGAATAAAGACGTCTATTTTGTTTTGAGCAAAGACATAGTAAGGCAAAGTCTTTATATGTGTGAAGTAGAAGGGGCAGAATGAGGATTGTGTAGGTGGAGCCATTAGACCATGATTCGGAGATGGTAAAGTTTCTGCCAGCCCAAATGGGAGCTTATGAGCAAATATGGCTCAAAAAAGGAGTTTCCCCCATTGGCAAGAAAGGGGCCAGCACTGACACTTCACTTTGTTCTTTTACTATTAGGTCATCCCAAGAAGAGTGTGGCTTCAGCCGGATAGCCGAGGTATACCTTGAAGCATTCATTAGCTACCCACACTCTTTAGAGCTAGGCAACAAATGGTTTCTTCAAGTGGGAACTGAGAAGCACATCTTTACATCTATTACACCAAATTAGACTGATTTACCAAGTAGTACTCCAGAGACTCGATTATCTTTAGAATCTGATTGAAGATGATCAATAACAACAACAAAAAACCTATAATTTAATGCTGACGTTTTTATTTTTTAAATTAATATAATATTTGCCACAAAATGTCCTAATTTGGTTACTATAAATGTATATATAAATCAAAGAAATTGAAAGAATTGTCTGTATATAGTGATAAATTATGTTCACACCAAGATTATTCCAAGTACATTTTTGAACAAAATGTTTCTCTATTTTACAAGAGCATTGATTGTTTTTATCATATTGCTGTCCTCTAAAAACAAAATATGCATTTGTACTATTGCTACATGAAAATCTGTATCTTTAATGCTGAACTTCTTTTTGAGGATGTGACAAATTTTTAATATTCCAAAATATCTCTTTTAGCAGTGATAGCCATCTAACAGTTGACAGCCTCATCATATTGATGTATTGATTTTTTTTTTTTTTTTTTTTTTTTTCAAAAATAGCATTCACAATAAGGTTAAGTGTTTTACAGAATAAAACTTGGACAGAAAAAATGCTCAAAAACTATACTTTGCATAATGAATTAGAATAACATAATTAAACATAAAATTAACTGATTTTTCTATCTAAAGCATCTAAATACTGAGTCAGAATTAACATAATCTAGCTTTTGCTACTGGAGCCAACCTCACCACAGCTATCCCTTCTATTTCACAATGACTAGAAAAACTGCAAAACAAAGGGAGTAAAATTAATTTGAATGAACAGTTATTCAATCTAATTGAAAAGTTATGAGTTTATAGCATAACATGTGAATCTACCTTCAGTAGCTGTGGATAAGCACCTTTATATACAGTGTTCTGAAGAAAATCCACAAACTTTTGACCTTGATGCTA